GCTCGTAACATCGAATTGAAGATTCATAATTTCGTTGAAGAAGCGGAGTCTCGTGGTGGTGTGCCGGTCGAAGGAATGCTCTCTCGTGATACCAAGCAGGAGAGGGTGAGTCAAATCGATTACGTGATCGATTATCCCACTCACTTCAGGATTTGTGGAAGATTCGTGAGAACATACCAGTGGCATTGAACAGGGAAGGTGTTCTTCATAAGTAAGAACTTGATCTTATTACATCGATATGTGGCAAGTTCCATTATATGCTTTAAAATTTCCTAGAATCACCAGAGTTTTTTCGGTGGTTGTCCGTAGTATTCGGGGTTATTGCTATCCATATTGTGGCTCTCCATTATGTCGTTAATATTGGTTCTCCATACTGTGATGGGAGAAAATTTCCATGAAATCTGGTAATTCCATTTCGTCATTGGTATTACTCAAGATGTATTCTCACTATTTCCTCTATGTCTCTGATAGCGGCTTCATTACATGTTTGCACTACTCGTATTATGTACTCTTCCTTTTTCCGATAACTTGTATACTTATTATGATTCCGGGTGCTCCTCCTCCTTAAAGTGAGGATTCGTATGGTCGTGCTTTAGTATGGAGATTTCGGAGATTGCCATACAGGAAAGTATCTGCCTTCAGATATGATGTGTCTCTGCCAGTGAGTGCGATGGACGACTTGGTTCGACATGTACGGAGGGAGTTCCATCGTAGAGGAGAGGTGAGTGGCTGATAATTTCGTGGCGCGCGGTAAATATCTTGTTGTTTTCAGATTCGCCGTGTTGTCGGTTATGGACATGTTGGCGACGGCAATCTCCATCTTAATGTTGTATCTGATCCAACTATGAATTATTCAGTAAGAGGTCCCTGGTTCGATCCCCGCTCTCGGCATTTTTCTCCCCCTAGACCCCGATTCACAAGGAGCTGGACGCTGAGGTTTACGAGTACACCAAAGATATGCGAGGAAGCATTGCTGGCGAACACGGATTAGGTCGGTGATGAAGATGATTTGTTCGGGTGTTCAACATTATCATGATGATGATGCTTCGCTCCGCTGCTGTTTATGTTTGATATTCCGCGTTAGGTACTCTGAAGAAAGATAAGATATTCTACAGTAAACCAGTGCTTGCGGTTGAGTATATGAAGGAGATGAAGACTCTCTTTGATCCTCGTGGGATCCTCAACCCTGGCAAGGTCCTTCCCCATACGATACCTCCTGAATCAGAGTTGCCCTAAGAGCATATCTGAAGCATGTGGAGTTTACAGAATACGATTGAGGTTGACACGACGAAGTATCATTAAACTTGTATAACTGTTGTCTTTGGTATGTTCTGACGTTTCAGTGGGTAAGCGGAGCGAAACGTTTTTCGTATTGAGGAATTGTTACTATCGTTGTTGGTTGTTGTCATAGTTGTTGTGTAAAGCATCGATTATCTGTGAAAAAATACATTTTTCATATTAAGGCTGCCGCCGAGATCTACGGAACAGATTCATATCAAATAGGATAGTCTAATGGTATTGCGTTGTCATTTGGTAGCGGCAGGTATCGGGTTCTAATCCTACTTCAAGTATAATGAATACAAGTAATCCTTTGTCGTGTTTATGAACTATCTTTAAGGACGGAGAGTACTTGCATATCCTTGTGAGCAATCATTTCAGGACCACACTTCATCCTGCTGCCCTTTCTATCGCCTTCTTGTCGCATGTTATTGACGGAACGTAGTTTAATCAGCTCCTCGAGTTCAGAATAACCTTATGCAATATCTCCATTGAGAGTACACTCACCATCATCACTCGTTACATCGAGTAACTCATCAAAAAGGAGCCGGTACATGCACATGTACGGTCGCGTTGGCGCGAACAGCACGGAGAGTGACACGTTATCAGTACCTTATGAACTAACGTATAGTTGAAGTAGTCAAAGTGAACTCTCAATAGTGTAGCTAGCACTCAAGTATCCGTCCAAGACTACAGTGTTGACGGTTCATACTTACGTCAGATTGAATCAGCTAATACGCAGTTGTACGAAATGAAGATGTTGTGTTATCAGTCTTGCTGCTGCTGTAAGAAGTAACCTATTTACGGTATTAGTCGGTATACGGTGTATGTCTACATCTAGAGGTGTGGAATTCCCTAGCAGAAGGTGG